TTTCATTTCCTTTTTCAAAAAGGATCGCAAACACATGTTTCATAACGATTTCATCGTGCAGCACGTATTTTGACGATCAGTGCGTTCGCATTCGCGGGAAATACATATTCTTCGATTATACATTATATTTTATGTGATGCTACTATCTCGCATCTTGAAGAGAAGACACGCGATGTGCTTGAACATTCACAAAGCCACGGAATACAATTGTGCTCTACTGGGCGAAATATATTTCATGCATCAAGATACGCGAGATACGTCGTTCATAAATTTCAGTAAAAATTAGTTCACGAGATACCCTGTTCCGCGGATGCGAAAGGTTGATGACACTGAATGTAGCACGTCTCGTGTAAAAGAAGATTACGATTCTACATACCGTGGATTAAACGTGCGAGAGATATTCTCGTTCGGAAAAAATAAAATTTACCTTCCGAGGATCGAGTTTCTTCTTTTCTATAAACTCGTGGAGCAAGTCGTTACTCAAGTCCAGTACTGGCAATTTTTCACTCGTACAATGGATAAAATTTATTTAATCAAGCTGATTGACTGGAATTTGATTTCACGTAGCAAATGGAATTCACGCGCGCCTCTGCATAATATAATTTTAACGAAAATGATTTAACTTCTGATTCATCTTCTTTGGATTCATTGACTGAAGGGCTGATACGTAGTCCTAGATTCTCCTCTCCAATTATTATACTTCTTTTACAGCCTGTTATTATGCCTGCACGGCGTCACTTGTTCCCATCACTCATCCCGTTTCCTCGTTCAACTTGAAAAATCCAGGCGATTATATGCGATAGTGATACAACATGATAATTACATATTTTGTCAATCACAAGAGGAGAGATTTTTAATCTACGCGCATTCTAATTCACATAATCCAGGATGTAGATATTCCACTCTATGTGGAAGAGAAATTCTAATGCACTGTACTTTTCTTTAAAAGCGTATCCTGCTATTAGCCTTAGTTTCATTCAATAAGAGGAACAACCTTGTTTCATTAGGAAGTCGCTGTTCACTCCGTTCCATGAACGAGAAAACGCACGAAACTTCCCACGGAAATCGTGCTCCTCGGAATTACGCTAAAACTGCATACGACCTTTCCGTTTTCCGGTTGTACACGATTCCTATCGTCTCGCTTAGGTGGCCAGGTTTTTCCCCGTGGCTGAAATTGAGCCGAGCGTGCAACAAATCCCGAGGTGAATTTCGAGGTAATTAAAGGTTCCAGCCACGTACCGTAAAATGGCTGTTTAGCTGTTTGATTCGAAATTTGTGCGGTGGCCGAGTCACTTTCATTTCTATGATCGGCTCGGTGAAACTTGAAAACGAGAGTCGAGAATTGCCGATGCGATTGAAACGAAACTTTAAGGGGTCGAGGGGGTGCAAAAAAAAGTGCAATTAGATCCTCGAACTTCCGTCTTTTAATTGAACAAACATCCTCCTGTTATCTGGTGAATAACAAGGAAAATCTCGAGAAACTCTTAACACAAAATTAACATACACACATGTGTGTTCTATTCGAACAGAAGATATTTATTATCGTTGGATAATAAAATATTACTGGACTTCAAATTGTCGAAAAAAAAAGAAAAAGAGATAAACGTAGCAGAATTGATCATTTCGATTCAATTAATTAATGCCAGTCATTATTACTGTATATTAATCAATAACGTTGACAATGATTTTTCATGAAATATTATTTTTTAAAGAAAATTTTTAGAATCTATATATTTGTTAAGATATCTATAACGAAGTTTTCAATTGATCTCGTACATGGAAATATTCCATCCTCTTTCAAACAATTAACTATGCACGCGTTTGATAATCGTTATGACGTGCCTCGACAAAGTTCCGTGGATTTTACGTGTTCAGCAACGGCTAAATGATACTGTCATCACGTCATCGATCAATAAATATGTCGACTATTATTTCTTGTTATTCTCATCTAGTGATAGTGTGCGTGATAGAGACGAAAAAGGGATGAGAATTTATATCCTTAAATTTCGATTTTTACCTTGCATTCTTATTCGACTTTAATGATGATGAAGTCATAAGAGAAGAATAATCGTATAATTATAAAACGAATACACAAAAGTAAAATAATATTTTATTAAAAAGAAACAATATACCATTACATAAACATCAAATTCGACTCGATTTTGTGTGTGTGTGTGTGTGTGTGTGTGTGCCAAGAATTGAACAGAGTTAAAGAGTTGTATTCTTTTTAGATGGAAGTTTTCTCGTTTAAAATTTTCCGAAGGATACTTGGATGGAAAGTGTGAATTCATTGTACGTAGTTTAGCACAGTTTCGACATTTCAATTTCTTCTGATACGAATCTTCCAGATTCTTCTTCGAACAGTCGTGAATTACGATTTCGATAGAAGGCAAGCTGTTGAGCAAATGCATGTTATTTCGTCCCTCGACGAATCTTATCTTCTTTCACGATCCCTCTAACCTTACACTACCACGAGAATGAACGCCAGAAAAGCGGTTCGTTGAACTCGAGCCTCGTGCAAAACGTGATCCAGAGATTGTGGTTCCTCCTCGGGTCGCCCGTGTCGTCGAACTCCGTGACAATGATTGCGACCTCTACTCCCTCGCTTTCACTGGCGAACATCTTGTAATCGGCAACGATTGTTAAAAGTCAAGTTTCTCGCTGCGAGTATAATCTATATTTTATAACAACTCTTTACTTCCTAATACGATAGGAATAATCATCGAATAGAAATTAATTTAAATGTCTGAGTGATTTAAACGATGACTGGGTAAAAAGGTAATCTGTAATAATAGTTAACGATTCGAGTAACGATCATTAGGCTTCGTTAGAGTATTCTCTAAGATAAATTTCATCGCTCTGATTAAACTTCTGACAATAGTTGATCTGACAAGCTATTTTCGTGTGCCCATGAAACGTGGATATACCAATGACGTCATTACGCCAATGAACACACGTAACATACATGTATAGTTAGGTGAGTCATTCTATTTAATCTCCAAATAAGCACCTCTCTCGTACCACTTTTTTCGTACCGATGACGTGATTTATAATTTAGATATAATTTAGATATGAACGTGTATTATAGTAGAGATTGTTGAAATTTCCGCCACTCTGGCAGTGTGGTCTATTTCCCCTTTAATTAGATTATGCCAGTCGGTGCAATTACAAGAGGCGACACGACCTGGAAAACCAATTGACCTAAGACCAATAAAAGCGTGCGTGATGAAAAGTGTGATATGACCCCATCACAGGAGTCTATCAACTACGTTACGCAGTTGGTGACACAAATTTTCAGGTGATCTCTTCATTTGTCACTCTGTGTGAGCATCGTTTCGAATTGATCTTGAAAGGGATTCTTGCTGTCTGAGTTAAGAAACGTTTCTTGGATCAGTGTCAAAGAGTACAGGACTTAAGAATATCCTTAATAAATCATTAAACAAGATTTATATCGAGCCAGGGAAATAAATGTTGAAAATAGATTGCACTAAATCTTTCTTGCCAAAGTGAGTGACAGTCCGGATAGAGTTTCTGAATTTACGTTAACAAGTAACATTTGCATCAGACAAAGATGAAATACCCTAAAGTATTATTTAATATTATTATCGTCAACGAGTAACATCACCGAATGTTCCTATAAATCTCTGGAAGTAAACTGCACGAAATCTTAAACAGATAAAAAAATTCCACGAAATTGCCAAAAAAGAAACAAACATCGATCTCAATCTAGCTCGGATTGTCAATTTTCTCCTCGGTTCCACTAAACTGAATAAAGATTGACTTCCCTCGTGAATCCTTCTCCAATTTCTTCCTTTCAATCCCGCAAAAATCCTCCAGTGTCCGCAAGATGTGGCTCTCATCGCCGTGAGTAGAGATTATTTACTATACACGGAGTCGACGGGTGGACCGTGAGGTCGTCGTGGTTCCTCGAGGTTAACTCGTTTAACCTTCTCCTACTCCTCGAGTACCAAGAGCAGAAAGCAAAAGAGAGAGAGAGAGAGAGAGAGAGAGAGAGACGATCGCCTCGTGATTCGTCTCCGTTCGATCCTCCGCTTCCTCAAGTTTCGAGGACGCGCGGATCCTCGCGCGGCGATATCTCGCAAGTACATCGAGATACGAGTCAAACGTACGTCACGATCCAGTTACTCGACCCATTCGAGCCGGTACTGCACCGATCGTTCCGGAAGGTCGTGGCAGATTTCACACAACGTCTCGTTCGCCTCGTTTCGTTTCGTTCGCTTTTGGCCGAGATCCAGCCTCGTGACCAATCGGCTGGACAACATCCTGTCCCTTCACGCCAACTTCTCGTGTCCTACGAATTGCCTCGTCCCCTCGTATCGAGCCATTCTGTCACGACGTTTGCCTAATAGGCAATTTATTGCTACGTTTCTCGGCCGACGTTCCCTCACACGAGCATTTGTCCTCTTTTTCTCAGATTTTCTTGCAACGTGCTCTTTCATTCGTTGGACTTGTCGTTCAATGCAAAAATGGTCTACCTGTGTTTGATCGCGAGAGTTCAATCTTCTTTCTGTTTTATGCAGAATTGGTACGAGGATAGAACTTTGCAACGATCGATACTACTGTATTTTTATAGGAATGCAGAAAGTTTCTTTTTGTTTTCGGAGTTGCGCAGTTTATTTGTTTCTATTTTATTTAGCTCGTCGACACTTGCATCGAGCATTCTTGTTATGTTTTTTTTTT